TTTTTTTTAATCAAGTGTACCTTTAACCAATGGCTCACAGCATTGTGAAACTCTAACTGAATAATCAATTGATGTAAAGTAATTTAAATGGATCAAAAGCACTAAAAGATTGCTGACCAAAAGACATTTCAGGGTCCACTGACAAAAAACAACAAAAAAAAACAGGATGTACAGGAAAACTTTCTGAACAGAACTATAAGAACGTACAACTGAAATCTATGAGTGCAGAAGAAAAAAATTAAAAATGTCAACACACTTTCTACTCCCTAGGAGTAAGTGTCCTACAAAGATCAGTGCTAGGGCATGTCATGGAGTCTTCAGAGAAGATACAACAACCCTGGATGACAGCGGAGACTGGTGTCCCACAGAGGATCTTCCAGTCATACTCTTCATTTACAAAGTTGATTGAGGTTCAGAGACAATCCCTCAAAGGATCTGCAGGATCTCCTATCTCTCGATAACTCACCGATCCACCAAGATCCATGAAAAGCACTGCAAAGGAAGTTACTCACAGGAGGTTACATAAGACAAAAACAACATACTGCTGTCCATCTCACAATTTGCAGAAGACCACCAAGATATTCAACAACACCACTGCAGCGATGTTGTGTGAACGGAGAGGACAAAAGTTGAACTTTCTGGTGAAAAGTACATGCCGTTATGTTTTGAGAAAAACACCACATACCACAAAACTCCACAGCAGAATGTCAAGCTGGAAAAACTCAAACAACCATCAGTAATTCAACCAAAACACAAGGTTATACAACAACTACATCACGGAAACAGGAAATGTCATTTCTCTGAAGGCCCAGATAAAAAAACAGAATCACTTGGAGAAGGAAGTTAGCTGGATATCAGGATGCCTGGATTGGCTTGGAAAGGGAACCAGGCCAAAACAAACCAATCAGAGACTCTTTTCAAGCCTCAATATTCTTCCTGTCACTCATGTGCTGCGAGGTTATTTTCTGGAAGGAGAAAAAACGTTTGATTCAACATGCAGGGAAATTAATTATTCTTATCTGATATCAAATATAATTTCAGGAAAAATTCAAGTGTTGATGGTGAGATAGCGAGAACAAGGGTGTGATAATACCTCAAGGATCTGCCAAAACAAATCCATTTCCACATACTGAGAAAACATCAAGAGATCGATCCGAAATCAAGCTCTGAATGAGGGAAAACTCTCCGAGCCAGGACAAACACGCTGCGTCTAGTATAAGCATCCCCTTTTTTCCTGTGTGGAAAACTACTGAAAACACAAGCATGTTGAAAACACAAGTCGATGCAAATGCTGTGCTCCCTTAGCCTGAATTAAGGCAATGAGAAATGGCTTGTCCAAACAAGCAGCGGGTTCGATTCCATGGAACAACTGGAACGAAAACACATTTCTGTGTTTATAGCCGAAGCGGCACAAACAGCTAGGTTCACGAGCAATTCGCCGTGCTGAAACAATATGAGAACCTGAGAGAGACTGGGAAAGATGCGTGTTTTTGTGTGCATATGTTAATCTGGGGAAAAATAAGAGCAGCTCTGTGATCCTGCACAGGACGAACGGCGCACACACACACTAGTCTGACACTGTCTTTCCGCCAAAGCAAACATTTACAGATGGATTTCGGGCTGAAATTCACATGCTGTTACCAACCTGAAAGGTTTACCCCGAAAATAAGGCTCGCTGTAAATGCCCTGCTGGGCTCTCAATGGAAACAGATGCATGTCTATGCCTTACAAATTCTTAAGTAATCCATATGCATATGAATTATGGATATGCAAATGACACCTCAAGTAAGCAATTGATGTGTGTAATAGAGTAGCAGCACTGTTTACTTGCCGGAGGAGTCTCATGTTATCCTAAAGAATGCACAAACCTTATTGACGGCTATTCAGAAGTTTCACTGATGTTTGCAAGAAACTGTTTTAGAGGGCCCTTGACGAGAATGGACTGTCAGAAATGGTTTAGGTGAACAAGCAAAGTACTTAATGCTAGAAACTCATTGAGTCACATGTGCAAAACTGCAACATTAAACATACTGTAAGCAACGTCAGCTGTTCTGTATCTTGCACCAGACAGAAGAGTGTGAAACAGTTGGTTCCGGAAATAAAAATCCCATTCTTTTTCTCTATTGGAAATTGATTTTTAACAATAACTTGTAAACCATTAAAGACAGACCCAGTGTGAGCTATGAGGTTGTTACCCGGTGGTATATGATATTGTTTAACTTACTTTTGAAATAATAGTTTAACAGCCTAGTGGAAAAACTACCTACATTACCAACGATTCTGCAAAGAAATCGCCACCATTCAGAGAATCTATGCAAGTAAATCATGCCATATATAAATATTTTGCAATATTTCTGTTAATGCAATCAACATTTTTAAATCAACAGTTTCTCAGTCATTTGCAACGATTCATGGGATTGTATCTATTCCATTAAAAAAAGCTTACAGCACCTTTAAAAATTTTAATGTTAAAACTTAAAACAATGATGCAACTCTTGTTGTTTTGTTTGCAAGAATCAGCTTAAAAGCATAGTTCACCCAAAAATAAAAATTTGATGTTTATCTGCTTACCCCCAGGGCATCCAAGATGTAGGTGACTTTGTTTCTTCAGTAGAACACAAACAAAGATTTTTAACTCAAACCGTTGCAGTCTGTCAGTCATATAATGGAAGTGGATGGGAATCACGGCTTTGAGAGTCAAAAAAAAACATACACAAACAAAACCAAATTAAACCCTGCGGCTCGTGAGTCGTGACGATACATTGATGTGTAAAGACACAAAATGATCGGTCAGTGCAAGACACTGAACAGCATTTATATTGTTTTTTTACCTCTGATTTTCACAGCAATGTCCGAACTGTCCTGCGCGCGTTCTCAACAGCCGGCGCCTGACGCTTCGTCTTCTTCTTGCTTTACGGCAGAAGTGCATTACCGCCACCTATCTCTCAAATGGAC